CTCTCTCTCTCTCTCTCTCTCTCTCTCTCTCTCTCTCTCTCTCTCTCTCTCTCTCTCTCTCTCTCTCTCTCTCTCTACACCCTGCCCCCGATGTATGTGTCTGTCTCACGTATGTCCACACTCATTATTACTGTTGCAGATTATTCCGATGTTGAATCCAGATGGTGTTGTCAACGGAAACTACAGGTGCTCTCTGGCAGGCGTTGATCTCAACCGTGTTTGGCTGTCCCCAAGTAGGAGGCTGCATCCAACCATCTTCCATGCCAAGGCCATGATTGAGCAGTTTGTTGCAGAGCAGGAGGTGGTCCTCATTTGTGACCTCCATGGACACTCGCGGAAAAAGAATGTAAGTTCAATTCGCCAAATCAGATCAGATACTCATCTTTGTCTTCTGCAAACACACATGCTTTGTCAAGTTTTCCGTTTTCACTCGTTCTCCACCTTTGCTGATCACTGATTCACTTCTGCTCCCCTATCCGCCAAAGAAGTCCATTTTTTCAGTTTTCCACCGTTCTTGTATTTTTTATCATTTGTTTCATTGTTTTTTTTTTTGTTTTGTTTTTTTTTTGTTTGCTTCATTGCATTTTCATTGTTCGTGAACGCGTTTTTGTTATCACATGTATAATCTATCTTATTACTAAGTTATTAGTAACGAGTAGTTTTTTTCCCGTATTAATTTGGCAGACATATATCAACAGAAGTCGCAGAACACAGCAAAAGTTCAAAAGTTTAAGAAAAAGAGAACCAAGAAAGAGTGGATGCCGTCCTTCGCGACATACGTTAAAATTAGAGCAATACAGAGAAGATTAGCATGGCCCCTATTCAAGGATGACACACATAAATCGAAAAATGGTCCAAAAAAGGGAAAAAAAAAAGAAAAAAAGAAAAAAAAAAAGAGTGAGTGCTTTGTCAATCCTCCATGGGTTGGGCCAATCAATGCTGATCAGGTGTGTGACGCTGTAACCTCACGCCGTACACACCTTTCCTGTCGGATCGACTAAAATGCGAAAAAAAAGGATTTTTAGAAAATCGAGTTTGGAGACCCAGGACAGAACTGAAATCTCATATGTGGTCCCACATATGGAGCGACGAGTAAGGCAAGAAAAGACGAAAAGAACCCACATCAATGACTACCTAATCCAAAAAATATCTTTGAGCTTCATCGCAAGCAACGCGATGTCTCTTTCCTGGCCTAAAGGGAGTGGGAACACACGTGGAATCTCAGTTCTGCACGAGGATTCAACGGCGTTCCTCACAAAGATCAGAATCCGAGTCGGAGGGTCACAGTCTCACTGCTTTCTACTTGAACTCCTTTTCGTCACGTGTCCGATAGTTGGACCCCTGGGCTCAGAACCATTCCATACAGCGGCAATCGCTGCATAGAGTGCGAAGCCAATGGGGAACGACTGTCAGCCACGGGATGACAATCAACTTGTCAAAGGGGACCAGAACCGAATAGGGAGGGAAATGGGTATCAATAATCACGAAACCCGAATTGACGAATCTGGAACACCGTGTTTCTGACGGAAAATGATCAGGGCCGCCGATCTTGGCTACGGCTTCACGTACATCCCACTCGCAGACACTCTTAATGTCCTCGTTGTACGGGAAAGGTCGTGAGCGGGGATGTTCGAGAAGTTGGCGCCCTGATGATACGTCCGGTTCAGTCCACATGGCCGACGCACTTACATCCACCATTCACAAAACAATGCTATCAACCCCCATTAACTTCGGGAATCGTCTTTGCAGTGGAGGTCAGGCAATACGATGTGACTTTTCTGCCCGATATTTCTTTACACATGGTAACCACGGACCGGGACATCGGACACTTCCGGACTGTCTTCCGGACTAGTGTCTGGACCGGTCCGGACTGTCCTGTGATCCGGACACCACCGGACACCCGGACATCCGGGCAGATGTCAGTGGGTACAAAATGTCTGGACCGGAGGGGGGGAAAAAAAAACAAAAAGAAACGGGAGGGTGGGTGGGTGGGTGGGGGGGTGTTGGCAGGCACTCCCCTGCTTTGCACTTTGTAGTTCAGGCAGCAGAGCACCTGTCTTGCAGCAAATCAACAAGCACATTCAACTAGCAGACATGCAGAGTTACAAACAGTTGAAATCAGGCACAAGACTAAAGAACAGAGAAAAGAATATTGAAAAAAATATGATTAACTTTGAAGTTTGAACTTTGAATTAATTAATTTAAGTTCATAAGTTCATATAACTTGAAAGTTCGAACTTTGCAGTTCAATTCAGAACGTCAGACTCTCTCTCTCTCTCTCTCTCTCTCTCTCTCTCTCTCTCTCTCTCTCTCTCTCTCTCTCTCTCTCTCTCTCTCTCTCTCTCTCTCTCTCTCTCTCTCTCTCTCTCTCTCTCTCTCTCTCCCCCCCAACGGGCAGCGACGGTGGGCGGCACGTCAAAACGGCCGCTTTGAAATTGCTCGGGCCTGTGTGAACCTGCCACCCCAAAAACCTGCAGTGTCTTGTGTCCGGACCTCTGAAACGACACTGAAAAATCACCCCGTTATTTTTTAAGGGGCGGTCAGGACCCGAAAAGCGTCCTGGGCGGCCCCTTTATTTTTTTCGATTTTTGCCCTAGTGGCCTCCATCCCGACATCATGGACCAGACACCGGACCCGGACATGGAGTTCCGGACTGTCTGGAACCCGGTCCGGACATCCGGTTGGTTACCATGGATATTAGCCAGAAGTTTTCGAAGAGACAGTCACTAGTTCTTCAAAAGGACAAAATGGTGATAAATTCCGAGGGGCAGCAACAAAGATAGCTACTTCATCCACTCGTTCACCAACAATCTAAACTACACATTCCATCACGATAGGAAAAATCAATAGAAGGAAGAAAAGTATTCCTATAGACATTGTACACGTTAATATTCGGTGGGCCTAGTCCTTTCACAGTGCCGAGAGGAGCAAAGATCTTCACGAGTTGAGCAGCTTTAAGGGGATGCCCATTCCCAAACCTTTCGATCATGCTCGGGTTTTACTCACGCTCGCAGACATACCTCTAATCATGTGAGGAGACATTCTTTTACAAAGAAGAAGAGAGGACGACAACGAGGACGTTAGTGCTCTGTGTCCTTAGTGTGCGGGAGCGCAGTTAATCTACTCGTTATGATCCTTCCGGCAAGTGGAAGATTGGAACGGGAGAGTCTCCGGCTCCGCTGATTAAGGGCTAGCAGCTTGGTTCGTGGCTCCGAACTATCGGTCCTTGGTCTCATGGCGCAGCAATTATGTATCTAGAATCTTTTCATTTGTGCGGGAAGCTTCGAACGAGGTGGTGGAACGGAGGTGTTGGCTTTACTCCCTATTGTGGGAATTACTATACAAAAAGGTGTGCATACACTCTAGGAATACCTCAGGATAAACACCCATCCAAACAACTCCAATCGCAAAAGGTAAAAACATGAAAAAAAAAAAAAACAAAAAAAAAAACACATGAAAAATTCTCTTCTGTTTAAATTGGAGAATTTATGAATGAAAAAAATACAGCTTGAAACTTCCAAACACAACACGATTATGGAGCCAACTGGAATAAGCTGCTTCTAAAATCATTCCAATGTGTGAAACAGAGATCCCATAACTGCCTAACGCTAAAACAGTAAAACAAACGAAGGGGAAAAAAAAGGAGGTGACTCGTCTTTTAAGACACACATAAATCCTTCCTCCGGGAAGTAATCAATGCCGTCTACTCGGGCCTCCCATCCATAATGGGGGGGAGCGTGCGTGTGTCTCTTATGTATTCCGTATCGACTTGCCAGGGGAAAGGACCCGGACTGTTGCTCCCCAGAGAGCCATGAGGCTTTGTTAAAAAAAAAAAAAAAAAAAAAGACACGCATAAATCGAGAAACCAGAGTGAAAAAATTGTCGAGTTCGTAAACTCGAAATTCTCTGTTACCTTTCAAAAGAAAAGAAGGGAAAAAAAAAAAAAAAAACTGTCCCCTCCTTGGGATGGACCACCACCGGTATGCCGAGCCTTTCCTCACCCCCTGTTAACCTGCAATTTGAACACAGGGTAGCTGGGTGGGGCCGGTGGGCCACTGCTGGTTTAAGCACAGGGCGGAAAACCCTGAAAATCTTGAGCAGACCCAAAGTTATAAGCCCTGAGCCCAACCCCAAACCCCAAACCCCAAACCCCAAACCCTAAACCCTAAACCCTGACCCCAAAACCCTAAACCCAAAACCCAAAACCCAAAACCCAAAAACCGTAAACCCTAGCCACCTGGAGCTGAGAGTGTGCTGTTAAGTAACTGTCGTTTGAACCCTGCAGATCTTTTTGTATGGGTGTGAAAACAGCAGCAGCAAGATACCGCTGTTTGGTGGGACAGCGCCAAGTGAACCATCGGGGTTATCTTTGGAAGAGGCTGCCATAAAACTGGGCCCATATGGAACTGCATTTGCTCCACAACTTCTTGAGAGGATATATGCTCAGCTATTAGCCAAGAACGCTCCAGATATTTTCAGCTTTGCCGATTGTTGCTTCGAGGTATGTAAAAAAAAAAAAAAAAAAAAAAAAAAAAAAACTCCAAAAGACTGTTGTCTCAATCTGAACAGGAGTGTTTTTCAAACAAAAGGAGAAAAAGGTATTGCATAGTACGCATACATCTAGTTTCCCTCAATTGGAAACTCTCTGCCTTTTCTTTTCACTTCTTTGAAACAAAACAAAAGAAGGGTAGAAACTTACTCGAGACTCGAGAGTTAAAAATAAAATAAAATACACACACAATTTCCTTCTTATCACTGCTTAAACCACCAGGAGTGGCGGGAAGTAGGAACGGGAGTGGGTCAGGGGAAAGAGAGCGGAATGGTCAGGGGAAGTATGGCTGGTGGAACCCCCCTGATGAAGACAGCGTGGCGGCTGTCGAAACGCGGCGTCGGGGACGCCCAACCTGTAATCGAGCTTGATTGAAATTACGTTTGAACGCTTTGTTACTTTGTCTCATTTGTCTACATGTTGACGTGTGGTTTGACTATCTCAATTCTAATCACTAATCACTAAACCACCAGTCCATAAGGATCTGGTGGCATAGAATACATGTGATGTGCAACAATAATAGTCAAAGAACCAAGCATAGCTAAATTCAAAGACAGCTGAGCATGCGATGATGTAGTAAATATTTCATATAATCCTTTATGGCCTTCTCTGGTGAAGGGGACGAGCCAAAAACTGCATTGCGCCGAGCCTGCTTTGGATCGGTACTGCAAATCGGCAAATCTAAGGGGGTACCAGTACGTCCCCCGTTTTTTTTTCCTCCCCTCTATTCTTTTTGGTACTTTGAAAACAAAACAAAAGGACAAAAACTTCAAAATCCCTAGGCTACTCGGCTCTCATCTGGCCGTGCAGCACGGCCTTGCACCCCGGGCAAGTCGCCCGGGGGTCACCTGCACAGGGCACCACCCCGTGCAGGCAAAAATGAGTCCTTTTTTCGTTTTTTTTTTTTTTTTTTTGGTTGGGGTGGATGTTTTCTGCGCATGGCCAGAGGAGCCCAAATCCGGGATCAAAAGGGTCTAAAATGGGGTGCCTCAGTCTGATTCTCTTGTTTTCTGTTTTTTTCTTCCATTCCGTGACGAATTCTGATGTGACCCTCAGCCAAAAGTCGTTTCTTAACTTTGTTTGCAATTCTACACATGTTTTCTTTCTGGAATGGGGCTGCTTCGAACACTGCTCAGGGTTCAGGCTCGGCCTTCCACCCAGGCGTGTATCCGGCCACAAGTTGGGTGCCTGGGCGCCCGGACAAGCAGCCTAGCGAAAAACACAATTCTTTGTATTACTGCTTAAACCACCAGTCCATCGGGGAAGTTAAATGGATAAACCAAAAAATCCATCGTGCCGAGCCTGCTTTGAACAGGTCCCGCAAATCGGCAAACCTAAGGCGGTACCATGGTACTGATATGTCCCTTCTTCGAATCTTTGTTCTCCTCCCCTCTATCCTCTCCCCACTCCTTGCTTCTACTGTCCCCTCCCCTTACTCATTCTTATCCATTCCTCTCTTTCATTAATCTGGTTCCGTTTGAGTTCGAACTCAGGTCTGCATTTCAACAGTTTATGGGTGTCCCGAGTGGGATCGTATTCCTTTCTCTGCTTCGTGGCCTCTCATCGCTCTCTTCCTTCTCGTTAGTACCCTCTCCTCACCTCCTGTCTTCTGCTGTCTCATGCTCTTAGTCTTCTTGATGTGTAGCATGTATGTGTCTATATCGCCACCTACCTTCTCCCCCATTTGCCCTTTTTCGTACCCCTGCTATTGTCCTTCCTGTAGAGCCTGCATGTGTATTAAACTGTATTTAATATTTTTGATCTCTTTCTTCTTCTCTTCTTTCCTCTCCGAGTCTCCGCTCCTCTCCTTCCCTGTCTTATTTTATTACCTCCGTTACTCGTGTTCAATGCTGCTTTTTGTTGTTGTTGTTGTTGTTATTTCGAGTCTTCGACGAGTTCTCGATTTAGGTGTGTCATCCATCCCCAGGGATCATGCTAATCTTCTCTGCATGGCAGCCATGCGGACATCCACACAGGCATCCAGACGGTTTGCTGTCTGGTGTCTGGACGCTGGACAGGGAGGCGCCGAAACCCCGATTTTTTTTTTTTTTAAAGGGGGAACTCTGGACCTGCTCCTTGAGGGCGCCCCCCGAAAAATGTTTTGACGATTTTTGGGGCCGGTATCGGCCGTACAGGGCGGCTGTACCAGCCCCTTTTCTACTTGCATCCTGAGAAGACCGTTGGAGGCAGAGCGCAGTTCCCCAGTGACGAAGGGAAGAAAGGACAGATCGAGGCACTTCAGAGTGCTTTTCCGGCCGCCCGCCGCCCCCGCCACGCACACGCACA